ATGGCAGTAACTTCCTCCGAATAAGGGGTTGCATACTGAGTAATTAACCTCTGTTTGCTGCATCCCTGGCATAAACTGAAGCTGCCTGATTTGTTTCCTGATTGTTTCAGTTCCTGAAGGGCTTTTAACTGGCCTTTACTTAGTCCAGGAGCTTGGAAGCTACTTAATCCTTGTTAATTCAATCAGCATGTAAGTAGACACATAATTTAAGCCCTGATCCCTCTGGGGCATGCCAGTCTTTTGAATCATGTATGATTTAGCTGACGACATCTCATGCCAGTTGCTGTATTGTACGAGGTTCCTTTTGGTAGGGCTTTCAGCAGTAACAAGGTGACTGTTACCTGTGTCCCGACACCTCTGTGAAGCCTGCAGGAGTAGTGTGCTGCACTTACCTGTTCTTAACCTTTTACAAGAGTAGTACATCCTAGTGGTATAAGCTAAAATGCTGGTATTGGCTCTTAAGTCACGGGTGTCCTCCCATGAGCTCTGTTAAAGCACTGTCCAGTGACAGTGGGACAGTCTCCCAGAAATCAGGAGCACAAACATCTGTTCAAGAGTGTTTTATTGCAGGGATTACTAAAAGTGTCTTAATCTTATTATTTTTTTTTTAATGGTGGTATTTCTGTATTTAGTGGTCTTCTACATAATGTTGAACAGCTGGGCTGACCCATCTGTAGCACTTGGAGAGCAGATGTGTCCTGCTGATGACTGTGTGCACGCAGCTTGTGGACCTCTGCTTCATCAGCCAAAGTCACAGAACTGCCCCGAGGTTTCTGAATGAACAGACCAGAAGGAACTAATGCAAAACTGATCCACTGCTTTCCCCTTCCACACTGAATGATGTGTCTAGGAATGCTGTTTTCATTTCTGCCCTGTTCTGGTCACTCTGCGCTATTGCTGATCAGCCTAGAAGGAAAGCAAAATGCTCTGAAGACTGCTGGTGTGCCATAGCCAGTGTATATACTCTGCAAGATGATGTACTGCAGAAATAGCAAGGCAAACCTCTTTGTCCTGGGTCACCTCAGTGGCTGAGATGCTGTGGAGTGGAAACATAAATGCGGTGCTTCCTGTAATGGTAACTGTGGGGACTAAAGTTTGGCAAACCTTCCACTTTGGTAGCTCAGAGAGTAGAGTTGATAAAGACCAAAAGATGCTTTAGCTGGAATATCCTCTGTCACTCGGTCAGAATCTGAAGGGAGCCAGTGGTTGAACGTTGTTTGATGGCCACAATGCTGGAAAGAGCAATAAAAAGGCAGGTTGCAAGAGAGCTAGCAAGCTACTTTCTCAAACTACAGTTTGCTTTTATCCTATCAGTTCTTTAGCTTAAGCCTTGCTGGGGTGTCTGGAGCTGGCTGAGTGCTCCTGTGATTCCTCTCAAGGATCTGCCAGCCTCTCTGTAAGTTACTCTTGTGTACAAGCAATGACATTAGCACCATTTGTCATCTTTCAGGCTTTAAGTCCTAATTCCCATCTTTGTGCTAATGGTGCTAACTTCTATGTGGAGAGTGTATGTTAAAAAGCAGTTGAGTAACTAGCAATGACTCGCTGTTAAACAGCAGGATTCTGCATAATAAATGAGTTACTCATGTCTGGAAAGAGAGAGGAGGAAGGCAGAACCAGGGGAATGATGACTGTGAAGTAGCCTTCCCCACACTCTACTCCTGTGGACACCAGGTGTCAAATGTGTTCACAAGCCCAGAAAGGCTTTGGAGCTGTGGATGAGGCAGAGCTGATGGTTTAGGAGATTTACTTAGTGTTCCTTTTTCTTTTCTTCCTATCAAAGTGATAACACTAAAGTCAGTATACATAGTGCATTTAGACTTTCTACTATTATTTTTTTAAAAACTACAGCAAAACTTGACAAGAATTTTGCTTGGGATCAGACATTAGTGTATCCGGTACTTCCCTTGTATCTGATTGAAAATACTGTTGTCGCAGGGATTAAATACTGCTATGTTCACAATTCACTTTAACTTCATACTGCAGCGAGCTGGAGAGTCTTGGGGGGAGGACAATGGGCAAGGTGAGATTTAGAGGGGGATCCTTCCAAAAATGCTTCCAGAGTAGATGGAGATGCTGTTTCAGCTTTCTCTCTTCAAATTAGAGTGGTTTTGTGCTTAAAACTTGTTCTTGAAATTGTACCTCTTGGTCACTCTGTAGCTGTACGGTTGGTCAAATTCACTGGATCAGAAAAGTAACAGTTTCCTTCACTATGTGGTAATGGTTTCTCTTGGAAAGGAATACTTGAGGGTGACTCAGATTAATCTTTTCTATCACAATGAGGAAGTAACCTGTAATGGATTTCTTAAAAAATGTTTTTGAGATGTGTAGGATCGTTCCCTCCTTCTACTTACTACTGTTTTTGCAGTATCAAGCACTAGTGCAAAGGCTTTGTCTCCTGGGATTATCAGCTTTTAAACTCTACCAAATATTCCTTCTAAGGCAATTCATGTTACATTAAATGAAAAGATTAAAAACATTGGCTAGATCACTTGCAAGTTTCATTCTTTGAATCTCCTTGATATAATCTCCTACTCATTTCTGCAAGATTTTTTTTCCTCTTTTCCCATTTTTTTTCTTTTTAAATGCAATTTTATTTATTTATTTTTACCATCTGTATTACACACTTTAGACCTAGAATCAGGAATCATGGAGAAAACAGTGTGTCTTTTTGCACAAAACCCTTCCTATTCCTTACCTTAAAGGGAGGAGACTCAGGCAGCCAACTAGAAAAGACAAAATGAAACAGAAGCCGCTGTACCAGTTCAGTGTGTTTTGATAGATCTTGTTGTAGACTGTAGATGTCACTACTCCCGTGGTGACTAAAGACAACTGCAGCAGGACAAACACCTTACCTGTAAAACAAGAATATGGTTTTATATTCCAGGGAGGAAAAAAACAGCTCTGGTACCTCCCTGCCAAATCCAGGATCACCGCTGCATGGAAGAGCAATGTGGTCATTGCTTCACAAGCACTAGATGGAAAGGGCTTCTTATCTTCTGCTCTTCTGGAACAGAACTAAATTACTTTTCCTTCTTTTAGGCATAGGACAAAAGATCCTGCTAAAAAAGCTGTCTGCTTAAACAGTCTAGGTGTACAGGTAGCTGTGATAAACTGGGCAATAAGTGCTTCTTTGCATAGGAGATAGAAAAGTCTTGGGCTAATATCTTCAGGACAGGAGAGATTTTAGTCAGACTTTGCCTCTGCCCTAGACCAGAAGGATGGTCCCTAGGTTAAATAATGCCTGAAATGGGGGTGTGTGTGTGATTTGTGTGATATTTAGAGTGGAGAAAAGACAGAAATTGAATCCTAGTTTGAACAGCTTTTTTGCTGAAGTGCACTCTTCTGTTTCTGCCATGGCAAGCAGGGGAAGGAGAAGTACCCCAGCCCTGCTCGGATGTGCAGACTGGGAGCAAGGTCACCGTTGTGTGCTGAGCTTGCTGTCCTGGCAGCCTTCTCCAGCCGCACAGTCCAGCGGCCACCACCTGAAGAGACAACGCTGCTGCCAAGAGGCGAGGGCTGCTCTGCTGCATGGTCCTCCTTGAGAGGTGGTCTGTCGCTGTAATCGGCTGCAGCCTGTATGGCTCGTGGCAGAGGTTAAAAACAACAGTATGATTAATATTAACAGCTAATTTGAGGTGTCAGCTGCACTATTTATGGCAGGTGGGTGAGTTTGTTACGGACCATGTTGAGGAGCACAATGAGTAGGAATGGACTGGTGACACAGCAGTGTTGTGTTTGTATGGCAGAAGGGAAAAGGATGCAAAGGATGGCTGTGGGAACATGTCTGGAGGAGGCACGAGCAGTCATGGACCTGAGGTGCTATTTGAATACATGGCCAGTCCTGTCTGTTGTGTCTAAATCCAGCTCATTGGGGTAAAAAGGGTAGCCTTCAATACACTGTTGTAAAATACATATTTTACTATTTTCTAATACAAATTTTAGTAGAAAAGAATCTCTGCTCCTTTTTACCAAAAAGGGACAATTTTTATGCAAAGGTTATCCTTTGTTAGCTAAATCATGGTGTGACAGGAACAAATTGCCAGGTAACACCTGGAGACATATTTAGAAAGCATAAACGAAAAAAGGTGAAAGAAACACATCCTTGCCAAAACTGGAAGTCAAAGAAGCCAAATATAAATGGTCTTATCACAGTGCTTCAACTGAACATCTTGCTCCTCTTGGTTTTCCCTGGAGCACTGTGTTTTTGAGCAGCACTTCAGATATTTTTCCTGCCTTTGAGCTGCACGCTGATTATAATCTCTGGAAGTATGTGCTGAAAATTTTGTGGATAAATGATGATGCAACCAAGGACAAGAAGTTTGGATGTGACAATCTTGTCCTGCAAGTTTCTCTGCTCCTCCCTTCCCGCTTGTGGTACCAACTGTTCTGGTTTTGTTACGCAAAGCGTAGATTACAGCAATAACTTACTTTTTTCTTTATACCTTAGGCTGAATGGAGGGATTTGAGGGGTTTTTGATGGGTAAGGTAACCACAGTACTTACCATAGGATGATCCTTCGACATGCTTGGATAACACAGACCTGATGGTTGGTAAGGGGATAAGGGCAAAGAGCATCACTGCCCGTGCTGCAATGCAATGAATATGGGTTATCATCAGTACCTGCTCCTTGTCTCCCAACGCAATGACCGCTGCTTTTGAAGAGTACGTGCCTCTGGCTTGGGCAGGGCCTTGGATTCACCTTTTCTTGTCCTTTGAGTACCAGAAAGAAGTACAAATATTTGGTAGGAGTGTAGGTCCTCACTGCATCCAAGTGATGATGGATAAGCCACCTATTGCTCCCACTTGCAGAGGCACTTTGCCCAAACCAGCGGTAGTCTCTTGTTCTCACCCTGAAATTCAAGTGTAGATGGAATATAGCACTCTCCTTTGAGACAGTGAGGCCAGTGATTCAAGTCTATCCAGCAGAGAGAGCATCCCATCCTACACGGCCTTGACAGGAACACCACTTTTATAACACTATAGCTGTTCTCTGTCTCAGCGCTTTGGACTTGCTGTATTTTAGGCTTTCTCTAGTGTAGAAACTTTTAGGAAGCTGGAATTACCTTCCTGTCAGCAGAACCACCCTCAGTGAAGACTTGGTCCATGTTTAGTTGTTTCTGCAATGCAGGGAATAAGCGTCCTGCATACTTTGTAGCAGAATGTGTTCATGATGGACTTAATATTAAACAAACAATTTATTATTTTTTGTTTTTTATCTTTTGTTCCCCAGCCTGATTGCCTAACCAAACAAAATATCTTACAAATTTCACTCAGTGTTTGGCTTAGTACACAAAAATAATATCCCACTGTCTCCCTTTAGAATAACTTTTTTTGATTTTCAATTTCTCATTCCCTGTAGGGGCAGACAGAAAAATTGCTTCAGGCCACTTCCCTTAGATCTTTTTCTCACTTTCAGCATCAAAACCTCAAAGCCATGCAACCCACAGTACTCTCTTTATCAGATATGAATCATCCATCTCACTGCCACAACGGATGCGGTTCTTGGGTTTTGTTTTCTGTGTTCTGCAGAGGCTACCTCCCAACAATAAACTCGCCTTTCCTTCATCACAGGATGCTGCCCTATCTATTGTTACCTGTCCCTTGGTCATTTATACGTAGTGTAAGATTTATACACTACATTCCCATGATATTCTAGTTGCTAAAGCAGCTCCAGTGTCTCACTATTAAGTTTCCCATCGACCATAAATGCCTTAAAGTAACAAAAATAAATCACATTTTAAGATGTTCACTTAATAGGAAACCTTTGCCAATTTGTTTCTGTTGTAGCCTTAAGCCTTATCTCACAAGAAGCAAGTGCTTCCCATTAATGCAGTGGTGTGGTCTGACTAGTACAGGTAGCCAGCAGCAATTCCCAGTCCCCCACAGCGTGAGCATTGTTCCCCTGATCAAATCTGGGCTATGATCAAGTGATGAATTACTAGTCAACCGGCCTTAAATTGAGCCACGGCAGGAGTGTATGCCTCCTCTGCATATTGTAGGGTGCAAAATGTAAGAGGTACGAAGTGAGATGTGGGGAGAGGGGAATGATAACAAAGCCCTTTTGGGAATTGCTCCTGTGACAGTCTGCCAAGCTCCCTGCTCTGAAACTCGTGGTGAAGCAGAGCAGAAGCCCGACACTGACAGTTTCTCCTGACACTGAAACACCCCAGCCCCTTTCTCAGAGTGCACTCACTCATGCAAGTGGCCGTTCAACTCACCGATGTAGAACAGGAACGTCCACCGCACGAAGGCCATGATGAGGATGCCAGCGCTGAAGGATGTCACTCCGATCATGATCATGGTAATGTCCCTCATGTATTTAGAGAACACAAATACCCCTAGGAAGCTGGTGATGAAGATCACGTACCCAGCAGCATTACCGTGGCCAATCTCCACAGCATTCCAACTTAAAGGTTCCCTGAGCAAGAAGAGTGGGAGTACGTTCATTGCACCAACCACGGCAAGGTCGTAGAGGATTGCTGCCCCAAACAGCATGATGATGGTGAGTTTCGAGGGGGTTACTGGAGTGGAGCTGCTGCTCTCTGAAGGCTGGGAACTGCTTTCTGCTGCTGCTGCTTCTTTATGGGCAGGTAGCTGGCTGCCCACCTCCTCTGCACTCTTGGGTTTGGCTGGGCAGGAAGCTGCTGGCTTGGGGACTGTCAGAACAAAAATGCTGTAGAGGAGGCAGAAAGCATAGCAAGCGATGCTGCAGCCCACCAGCACAGTGCCCTCTTGGTAGTGGTCACTGAAGCCAACAAAGAGGTAGCCAGATGCCATGCTTCCCATAAAGCCAGCGAGACCATACACCAGCTCAATAATGATAAGCCGCAGAGACCTCCTGCTCTCGGAGGAGCCCAGGGATCCCAGAGCCATGACACCTGCCCAGAGTGTGGTGAAACCACCCGTCAGCCCATTGAAGGCAGCAGCTCCATACATCACCTCAATTGGCCAGCCCAGCAGGATCAGGAGCAGCAGGAGAGTTTTGGAGCCCAAGTATCCAAGAAGAGGGAAGCAGATGGGTATCTTCCAATGTATCCTGTCCCCCAGCTTGGACAAGCCATAGGCTGACACCAGTGGGCTCAGGCCTAGGACTAGGTTGTAGATGATATAAAAATTAGAGACAGCTTTCTGCTGAGCATCTTCCAGTGCGTGGGATGGAGCAGTGGCGTTGGTCTGGTTGTAGTAGTTCTTCACCACCAGCAGCAGTGCTGTGTCGTAGAAGGCACTGGCCACTTGAGAACCTGCGACCACCGGCTCAATCCATGTCCTTATTGCTGTCAACCCCACCATGCTGCTGGCAACTGCCCCTTTTTGGAGAGAGCTGTTTTCAGAGAGAAGTGTGGGAGGAAACGTCTCTTCCGAAGCTCTGCTCTGGAGGCATGCTTGGAGAGGAGCAGCGGAGATAAAAACAAAAGGTCTGCCGGGCTGCACAGAGACAGAGGGTTGTGCAAGAGATGATCTGACTGGGAGGATATTTACACCTCGCCTTGCTATGCACACATGCACATCCCTGTGCTGCTCTGATCTCCAGCTCATGCACGAGAGGCTTTTGTAGAGCCCGAGAACGCCCTGCACTCGCCGGGTGCTGCTGCTCCTCTTCCTGGTGTAGTTTCAGCAGAGGTCAGATGACCTAGGGGAATTTCTCTCTCCCAGTTTAGGAAGTGAAAATGCCGTGATCAAGTAATTGCTGCAATTTGGGGTGAGGGTTTGTTTTTTGTTTGGTTTGTTAGTTTGTTGTTTGGTTTTTTTTTCCCTTTGGGCATCGCTTATGTGTCAGAGGACTCTCAGGGTGGCTGCAGAGGCAGGGGGTGGCTGTGTGCTTTTTTTGTCAGGTAATTTGTGAATTCCCCTTACCCACCAGCTCTTCTCCCTTTCTTCTACACAAATATGTTGTTGACTCTTTTGCTCTTACCTACTCCCAGCTGACCTGTTGCTACATCATGCCCCTTATGTCATTGTTGTTTCAATAACTCAGTCAGGAAATTACTCCAAAAATAAATTAAAAGGTAAAAAAGCCTATTTTTGGTAACCTGCCTCCGCCAGCTGCCACTCTGCCTGCTGTGTTGTTTGGCTTTACAATGTGGGAATTTCCAAAAGGAGGAGAAAAGTCCCATTTTATCCAAAGACCCAGGCAGCCGATGCACCCCAGTGATCAGCAGAGCTGGAGGCTGGGATGGGTGCGATCCCACTGCCGGGAAAGCATTTTCCAGTCCCAGCTCCTCAGGGTGGAGGCCGTGCCTCTCTGCAGGCGCTGGTGGCACAGGCAGAGCTGTACAGCTTGAAGCCAGGCTCCAGTTTTGGTGCTGCCCGAGGGGGTCAAGCGAACTGACCTGCCCCAGGTGGCTTGGGGACCCTGTGGGGGTGATGGTGTGGCTGACCAGAGGCACAGGAAGCTCTTGGAGCAGGATATGGTGCAAGCAGGCTGCTGGCTCCCAGGAAGATGCTTGCGGACCCAGCTGCAGGAAATACTTGGAGGATATTTGGCAGCCTCAAAAATGCTAACTTAAATGATAATGATCTCATTCTGCACTGGTTTAATGAATCACAACAGGCAGAATAACAATCTGTTCTAGGAAGATTTATGATGATTGCTTTAAAAAATAAATGAATGATTAATTTGCAAGAACAATGTTAAAACCTCCATCTGTTGCACTCTTTATTGATTCAGGTGACACTTACTCAATGCCTGTGTACTCATGGCTCAAGAGTTTCAGTTTTTCACTCTTAGTTTAGTTGTGCAATAATTTTTTGGCTTATATTTCAATTCAAGGAAAAAAAGTACCAAGAACTAACAGGGAAAGGAGTGGGGAATTATCTGCTAGAATGATTTGCTGCTAGACAATTTTAGTTTCACCAGAGAATTTGTTTTTTTGTCAGGCCAAAAGACTCCTAGCCAGCTGTACAATATAATGTGTGTTCTTCCAACAGCTGGCTTTTTTTTCTTTCTTTTTTTTTTTTTTTTTTTTCCCCCAGATTTTTTGCAAAAAGTATCTAGTTTCTTTAGCTTTTATTCAGAAGTGGGACAAATCTTTTTCTCCAAGCTCTGGAATATTTCCAGAGGATGAAAATTCCAGACAGCTGTACTGAAAGCGCCAAAGCATCAGTCTGTGACCAGTTTAAGCAGCAAATGCAAGCAGAGGAATCGCCACGTTTCGCTTTACCCAGAGAGCCCTGTCTTTTCCACCAGACATTAGAGGGAAAGATAAATGACTTTGTCCCATTCAAGCTTCAGTTTGGGACATTAGTTACCTTGGAGTGCAGAGGTTGTTTTACAGGCATTGCACTTGAGGGAATGCAGATCTGCTCAACTCTTACATAAGGGGTATTTTCCCTCCACACTTTTCTTGCATGTACAGGCTGCCTGGCTTATTCATCTCACACTCTTGACACTGAGGTGACTATGTTATGCTTAGTGCTATTCAGGCCTAGATAGCTAATGAACTGTGCTAAATGCCATTAGTGATCTCATGAATTACATATCTATTTCCAGGGTATTCTGAGTATGCATTCACATTAAATGTACTTTTTAGAACTAGTTCTTGTTGAAGGATATAATTTCACGTCAGTAACTTCAAAACACTGAGTGCTAAAGTATGAGTTTAACTCAGGCTCCAGAACATTTCCCACTGCAAAATACTTTTCATGAATACCATATTCATTTAATGCCACAAAGACTTCAAAATTACTATTTTCTAGCATCAGCTTTTCCATGGGGCCCCATTCTCATATTACTAATATTTATAGGGACATTTGCATCCACTTTAAAATACATTCATGCAGCATAAAAACAGTGGAGCCTTAAGAGAGTGGCCCTTGACATTTATGAAAAATGCACCTACAGAATCACTGAGACTAGTCTAAAAGCAAAATTACACTGGTGTAGCCTGCTGGAAAAAGAACACATTGTTTTAGGGCATCCCTCTCTCGAGTGTTCTTGTCTGGAGACCCACTAGAGGCCAGGTCAGCACCATGTTGCACCAGCTCTTGGACATTGTCAGTCTGGCCAAATAAAGATACTTAAGGTCTCCCTATAGCGATGTTATACATTCCTATGCAGTATTGCTTTTTCTTTTTTTAAAATAATTTATGACAGTTATACCACTTTTTTCTTTCTAAACAGGGTTTCTGTAGAGATTGCAATGTGCAGCGGCAGCTGGGCTTGGCAGGTACCAGCATTTTGAAGCTTGGTATTAAGCAGTCCTCATCTGAAAAGGTCCTTTTGACATCCTGGACTGCAGACCAACATGGGTGCATAAACCCTCTTCATCTCCCTTGTTTAAGCCTGCTGATGGGGTCTGTGATTTATAGTCTCTGTCTGACAAGACATTTAACCTCAGAATCAGCTCTGTAACTCCTCCTCTTCCTTGGTATGTGTGGGTCATCCTGACGCACGCTGGGGCTTTATGGCAGTGGCAAGGTGAGGGAACATGACTGGGGACTGAGAAGCACCCAGGTCTGAGCCCAGCTGGAGCTGTGGTTGTGTTACAGCACTGGAGATTGGGAGAGCTGGTTGAAAACGGTGGGGAGAAGCAGCTATTTCAGTGATGGCCTGTTTTCCTTTGGAAAATGCGTTTTCGTCATAAATGACCACAGACTGTAATGCCAAGCTGTGCTCTTTCTCTCTGTGGTTTGGGAGGTTGACTTCCTCACTGGATGGTGTTTAATTACATGTTGCCCCTGTTCTCACAAGGCACATGGCTCTGCTCACAGAGCTGGGGGAGTTGGAGGAGGAGCGGAGGCTGCAGAGAAAGCTGGCTGCATTGCCACAGGGATGCCGTATCCTGGTCCAGGGCAGTTGTCTTGTGGGATCCAGAACCACCAATGGTAGATGCCAATGCCGGGATGTAAAAGGTCACCCCAACAGCTTTGTTTCAGCAGCCCTGGAAAATGACATCCCAGCTATTTGGAAACTCATGATGCTGGTGCCAGTGTCTGTAGCTCAACAGCTGGTAAGTCCACCATTGCCATAATAAAATGCAGGACCGTGCCCTTATGAGTGCACCTTGAAGTGTTTTGGACATCAAGACCCCTGTGCCAGCAGTCCAGCATTCAGGGGGTGCAGAAGCACAAGACTTGTTGAGGTCACTTATGGGAACATCTGCTCTCCTCTGCTGCTCATGGGAGGAAGAGGAAGCCCAGGGCACAGGCAGTGTGAGCACATAGAATCATAGAATGGTTTGGGGTGGAAGGGACCTTTAAAGATCATCTAGTCCAACCCCCCTGCAGTAAACAGGGACATGTTCCACTAGATTAGGTTGCTCACAACCCTGACCAACCTGACCTTGAATGTTTCCAGGATGGGGCATCTTTCACCTCTTTGGGCAACCTGTTCCAGTGTTTCACCACCCTCAGCCTAAAAGAAATTTCTTTCTTATATCCAATCTGAATCTCCCCTCTTTTAGTTTAA